ACCTTCTTTCTATAAGTTTTTGTATAACAAATGTATGATTCAACTACTAGGAGAATATTTGATTCCCCATATCTCTTCATTCCTTTTTGGGAAATCAGTCTTAACTACTTAAAACAAACATAGCCTTAATTGTACTGTCTCATCAGCTTTTCCAAAGGTACTCCTGCAAAACACTCGTAATACGGCAATCAACGAAAGTATCTTCATTTTTTTTTTCCTACTCCTTCTTGTTAGCTTATATGGTGAAAACCAAACAGATCCTTAAAAATGGAGTATATTCCGCAATATTTACAAAACTTAATTTAAGTGTTCTATTAGTTTAATTAACATGCAATTTTTGCTAAACAAGTTCTTTTTAATTATCAAATGCAATCAATTCACTTCACGAAGTTAACATCTTATCACCAAATATTTCGAGTTCTTGTTCCTTATTTCTATTTTTCTTTTTCGAAAATCACGGTGATTACACAGAAAATATTACCAATGTCAATGCAGAAACGAACAGAGGGTCCCAATTAAAGGTAGAACTTTCCACCATGATTAGCACAAAGAAGTTTAACATTGACATTCAGTATGTGATCTTAAATGAGTTCCAAGAACATATGTAAGAAAGCATAGCAATGCAATAATTCGTCAATATGGTCTAACACTGAAAATCATCTATATTGCCTATACTGTGAATGTAACATCCACGTGCAACACCAATATATGAGAGGGAGAGAGAGGAGCAAGCAACTCTAATTTCCATTGGCATTTTGCTTTCTCATTAATTTTATTTTTCTTTCTTTATGTATAATCTTTTTTGAAGTTTCTCACTATTTTACTTTCTGTTTAAAACTCAGATTCTATAAATTAGCTATTACTTGTCACATTTGATTTATCGATATATCAGAAAGTAAGTTCTTTCGTGTCTCGTCATTTTTAACTAAGAAATCCTCGAGGCAAGTGTCGCAAGGCTCAAAACTCGATTAATAATGGGCTCATTAATACCATAATTTTGTATAGGGAAGAGCTCTATATCATAACTTGCGCCTAATCTACACATTATACTTTGCTCTCTCACCACTAGATCAAAGCCCGGTAGGTTTTTTGTGTCTCATTATTATATGAAACTTATGAAAGAAGTTTAAGGGACTTCTAATATTTTTTTGGTTTTAGGCCACTTGATCCATTGAGATCACTGCCCCATGAACGTGCGACTCAACCAACTTCATTCACATTTGGTAATTGAATGACACATTTATTACCTTTAATATTTTTTTATCATTATTGTCTTATATTAATTGAGACTCTATAAAATTTAATTGAGAATATCAATGATGGATGGATGACTTAAAGGAAGATCGTAAAGCCTTGATTTAGGCCCTCAAAATTTTGAGGTCTCAGAAAAAATTTATGTAAATTTTATGATTTTATTTTAGTTTAGATAGTATTAGAATTTGCAGAAAAAATAAACAAGCGGAAATTTTTTTTGTAGTAAATAAAGAAAGAAAAAAAGATTGTCTACTCCTTAACAATAAAAATATTTTAGAACTTTGAATTAAACTACTAAAATCTTCATATTAGTAAATATAATTTTTTACCATAATGTCAAGTGTAATATATTATAAGTACATGTCTAACATCCTATTACTCAAATGACCCCTTACTAATATAAACCAATATGACCATTGAAATCTCCTCCTATGAATAACCTCTCCGAAGGCGGAATACTACGAACGATGTCATCCAACCCCTCCCAAAAATGCCTTTTAATCTCCTCATCCAAGCCTACTTGCGGCGCGTACGCGCTAACGACATTTAAAGTACACTCACCCACCACCAATTTAATAGTCATTAGTCTATCATTCACCCGCCTGACCTCTACCACCGACTCTCTAAGATGGTTATCTACGAGGATACCCACTCCATTCTTACCCCTCAGGACTCCAGAGTACCATAACTTATACCCATCCACGTTTTTCGCCTTCGATCCAACCCACCTAGTCTCCTGGACACACGTTATATTAATCTTCCTCTTCTGAAGTATCTTGACCAACTCTATAGACTTACTCGTTAGCGAACCTATGTTCCATGACCCGATTCTCAACCTATAGGCTCCCTTGCCCCCTCTACCTCCCCTACCTCCCGTCCCACACCTTGACTCCGGCCCCACTCTCTGTCCCACCCGAGGACATGCCCTTAATCTATCATCCCAGATTGCAGCCACTAAGACTACGACAAATCTCAAGAAGACTCACTAGTGCACAACAAACAACGAATCCAACTAGAAGGAAACAAGTGACTACAAGTACACTAGTTGAATGATTGAACTATTGTGAACCAAAGTAATCTCAATTTAGCTAACACCAAAAGGGAAACAGTAGAACGGGAGGTACCAACTCCCAAGAACCAAACCTGTGTTGATTTGTTGTACTTGATGTAGTTGTACACTCGCGCACCGCTTCTCACCGCCCGTTGCGGACACTCGTCCTGGTTGCTCTCCTTTGTTAGTGCTCGAGCGCCCAACTTCTCTCCACAACTTCGAGAATTTCCCTAAAAACACAGAAAATACCACGACCCGAAAACCAAAAAAGGGTTGTCACCACTACCACTGGTGTAGCCCTGATAGTAGTAGGGGAAATGTAGGGAAAAAGCAGAGAACTACACAAATATCTAATGAAATATATTGCCAGAACACTTGATAACTACTATAAATTAAGAAATAATGAGTATTCTTCTATAAATTAAATAAATCAAAATTATACTAGATGAAATAGAACCTTAAGTTGATTTAAAATAGTCAAATATGAATTAAAACTTAAACTTAACGAAAATTTCTTGAATCTAATAGTAAAAATAACCAAAACCCAGTTCAAATCAACCAAAAACCAAGTTGAATAAGATGGAATAAAGTTGAATTGATTGAAAATCCGTCAATAATGAATAAAATCGAAACTTTAACAAGAAATTTCAAGAATCTAACAGTAAACAAACCTGTAAGTGACGGAGCAAAGCAAGGGAAAAATTGAAAATAAAGACAGAACGAAAAAGGACAACGACTTTAGCCAAATCAACGGATCGAAACTTTAAAAAGGCAGACTATGAAGAAGAAGAAGATTAATGAAGTCCTTTATTTAAGTTGTGTTTCAACAACTTGCTGATTTGTTATTGTTTAAAAAAAAACTACCTGCCCACACAATATTAACTATTTTTAAAGTTGATTAGAATTCATTTTTCAGCCTATAAAAACAAATTTGGAGTTCTCTTTAACTGCAACTTTGCTAACTGCTTTAAGTACTATTTCCATCCCAAAACGAACAAGCGGGATTTGGAGTACAAATGTGAATACATCTTATTTATGTGTAAATTTGGACGTCCATCTCTTAATATTTTTGAAAATAAAAATTTACATATTTAAAAATACAACTAGAAAATACATAAATCACACATTTCTATTACTTAAAATGTTTTAAAAAACCACCAAATGATGTAGTGCAGTGGATGGGACTGCTCCTCTCGTAACCAGAGGTCTCGAGTTCGAGCTCTGGGCATGGAAAAATCCTTGGTAGGGAGCGCTTCCCCCTGAATGAGGCCCTACGTGGCGCGAATCCGGATATAGTCGGGCTTCAATATGGGTACCGGACACCGGGTGGGAAATCAAAAACAAATGTTTAAAAATTGTAACTAAAGAAAATACTATTTTACTCACCAAATATTAATAGGGTTAAAACATAATTGACTAAATAAATGTTAAACTGTTAAACGAAAAAAAATATTCTATTTCACCAGTAGCATTTTGAGTCAAAAAGGAAAATTGTCAACATTCAATTTTGCATCTCGCACTCCCCCAAAGCATTTTCCTAGAAGATAATATTTTGGTTTGATATTGTTATTCTTTCATGCTACCTTATTAATTGTATCTTACTCCATTTAAATGCCACATTATTTTATCATATACTCATATTTCAATATATTAGTATTATCATTTTATTTGACTTTTTTTTGTAAGAAAATATAAAACTCAATTTCGCTTTAGTTTATGTACACGAGGACTCTTTACCAGAATAAGCACCATGACCAAACGTAGACCGTCAGATTATTTCATCAGAACCGCAAATTAATTGATTAATCATAGTATTTGGAGTTAAGTTGAAAAATGGTATTTGGAATTTGAAATTATATTTATACATACATTTCACTTAAAAAAAATATTACAATTTTTGTGAGTGCCGGGGGGGAGTTTTTTAGAAGAATTGAAAAAAGTGGTCAAAATTACTTTTTGGTTTTTAAAAAACTCATTTTTGAAAAATCTCCAAAAAGTTACAAAATTTCCGGGACAAACACATTGGAAAAAAAATCCGAAAAAAAAAAAGAATTTATGAACAAACAGGTCCTTAGTTTAACATACATCTTTTTAATTTTAACAAGGAACTTTTAATTATCAAATGCATTCAATTCACTCCGCGAATTTAACATCATGTAACCAAAAATTTGGAGTTCTTATTTTGCTTGTTTCTATTTTTTGTTCACAAAAACTTCAGTTATTACATAGAAAATATTACAGACTACGCTTTTAAGGCAATTTACTATGTGATTGAACTCATAAGATTCATTACCCGTTTAACTTTTACATTTATAAAGCCTCAAATTGGGAGTTACTCAAGTTTGGGAGACTAGTATTTCTCCCAAAAATATCATATTATATGTCGGTTAACCCGTTTTTTATCCGTATTAAATATGAATCGGGTCGAATAATTTATTCATTAGCCGTTTTCGATACGTCATATCCGACCCAACCGCTGGCCACTCCTAGCAGAAATAAATAGAGGGTGTCAGTTAGAGGTAGATCTTGCCAGCATGATTAGCACAAATAAGTTTGCATGATTGAGTTTAACATTTGACACTCAGTACGTGATCTTATATTTATTTATTTTTTTTGNAATTGGCAAGGAAGTTGACATATTTGAAAATTGGAAAGGAAAGACATAAGTCCTACATACAATCAAAGGTAGAAGAGATTGAAAATGAAACATAACTGAAGTTTCAATTGATGCCTGAAAATTGCATCAAAGACTAAAGGAACAAACTAATCAAAACTGAATATGTTTCAATCACTTAATCAACTGTTACAGTACAAAAGGATTCCCCCATCCCATTGACAATTTATACACTAACCACTGCTTCTAAAGTGTATCATTCATTACAGTAACAAAATGATAACGCGAGCTAACGAATTTCCTATCTAATAATCTGCCAGCTACGATAAATAAATATAACATGAAAGAAAATCAGATGTTATATCTTTGAACCATTTCTAGCAGTCAATTCTTTTAAGGTAGAAAACTATAACAATAGATATCATCCTTTGGTTCACTTACTTCACTTCCTGTACAGTTTCGGTCGTAGGAAAGGACTATGTCTATGAATGAAAGCAGCAGCTATGGCAAAGGACTGCAATGCTGATAGCGTGGAATGAAAATGGATGTAATACAAACCATCGTGGATGTTCGCCATTTTCATGACTGGTGCACTTTGTTTTGAACCCTACAAAATCGACAAGAAAGAAAAGATTAGCTAGTGACATCTCGATGATCCATTTATTTAAATGCACAGTTGCTTGATGAGCGACGTAGAGAATAAAAACTCTTAATACGATCGCAAGACAGCTTTAGCAGAAACTAGAAATGAGAGTGAAGAGGAAATGCCAAAGGTGAAAGGGCTGACCTGTATATAGAGATCAAAAGTTTGACATTCTCCAGATGTAGTTTGTGATGAAGCTTCAGCTCCAGTTTTTAGCACTGTGAGGGGGCATCCGACGTCCCAGCCTCCACAATCACAGTGCCCACCGGAGCTCCATCGCTCCAACAGGCTTGACGGACCAGCATTTCTGCTTCTGGGTCCACCATGAAAACCAGAAGGAATGATAACGTCCATACTTGTCGAGCACTCAGTGGTATCACGTGTACAACTTTCCACTGGCGCCGCAGGAGTTGCATTTTTACTTCCAGTCGGGGGTTTCTTCAGAAACTTCAAACCCCAGCCACCCGTCTCTGCCTCCTTAGAGCTGTCATAAATACAATCTCTCATAACAATGGCAGCCAACTCGAAATTTGGAGGAATTTGTTGATCTAAAAGAGCATTGCCGCATGAATAATAATCATCATACATATTTACGGATGGCATCCAACAAGAATCTTCAAGAATGGCACTTGTTCCCCCGAACTTGGATAAGCTTCTCTGCTTATAAGACTGACTAGTTCTGAACACATCTGTTACTTTCTTTGCCAATCTTTTGTTTTTCCTGAGGACATGACTTGTTTGTATCTCATCCATATATTCATCCATGGAACCAAACACAACAAATCTAGTCTCCATAATCTCCGACTTGGCTGAGCTGAGAGTAACTGAAGTTGACACCGTCATTTTACCTACAAGATGTGATTCCCTTGCAGAGAAGGCACGTTCCTTTTTACCTCCTTGTCGTGAATGAAACGTGTAAACATAATCCAGAAACTTATCATCAGGTGAGTCGATCTTCAGCAAATCAGCTGTATAAACATCCTTTGTACCATCTATGGAAAAGACATAATGTGGTAAACCATTTTTCCATCTCCTCTGGAGCATTCCTTGAGAAATAGGGGCAGCTGCCGAAAGAAAAGATTGGTCTGAGCATGTCGAAGTTGTACTAGATACAGAAAGAACCCTTCTGTGATATTCTGGAACCGTCATCTCCTTCTGTAGCTTCTCCGATGAACTGACACTAAAACCACCGGGAGAGCTCATGAAATCAGAAAACACTGCTTCTTCACTATCATGTATATTTTCCTTCCCAGAATCAACAGTACAGTTTACGGAACCCAATTGGTTAAGTAAAGGACTGTTTAAAATGTTCAGCATACTCTTACTACCAGTTATTGCACCTAGAATCCACTCTCCAGAAGAGTCCGCGACATAACTCTCAGCCCCCGCAGCTTGAGGACATTCAATCGCCAGATTGCCATTAGCGCAGATATTTTCATTTCTAATCTCTCTTGAAACTAGACTCTTTGATAAATTTTGCATTTTTGAAGAGAAATTGCATGTGTCTACACTTAAGGAGTGGATATGTATCAATTCAAGGCAGCGAAGGAAATATCTTTCATCGAAACTTATTATATGCTTCGGAAATTTATTTTGTAAGCCAAGAGAACTATGAAAGAACAATTTCTGAGTGCAATTTCCAGAAAAATGTGGATTTCCACGTCTAAGTAGGTGGTGTGGTTCCGACTCTTTTATTGACAAACTATTTTCCTCTGCTTGTTCTTCCTTGTTCACAAAGTGCAATAAACCTTCTTTATTAGAAGGTTTGTCCATGTTTCGGTTTTCCATATTCCACCTCCGAGATGGTTAAACATTAGAAGGCAGATAAAAGAACTTTATTCTTTCACCTTGCACTGTGTAAATAACGTTATACAAACAAACCAAAATCCACCAGCTTTTGTAACACTCCGATTCGGATTCCAATTCTGGGAAATTTTCTGAAATCAAATGGAATAAAAAAAAAGACATAAATCAGAAGGAAGAATCTTTATCAATTGTTTACTCCAAAGATTAAAGCTTGATCATATAATGAGCTACAACCCTGTATACAAAATAAAAATCTGACTTTGTAACAACTGAAATAGAGAAAAAGATCATATCTTTGGCAGAAACAAATGAGTTCTGAGACTTCAAAAACAGAAATCTATACCATAGAGATATATTAGAACTTCTAGAAAATCTAGGGGTGTAAGTTCTTTGCTCTTCCCAATAGCTGGAAGAGACAAAAACAATTAATGCAAAAGAATTTTTAGGCATGAACCAAAAGAAACAATCTGGTGCACGAAGCATCCCGCGTTTATGCAGGGTTCAGGAAGGGTCGCACCCCAAGGGGGTGTGATGTAGGCAGTCTACCTAGTGCATGTATTAGCGGCTGATCCCACGGCTCGAACCCATGACCTATAGGTCACACGAGAGACAACTTTAACATTGCTCCAAGGCTCCCCTTCAACCAGAAGAAACAATCTTTACCAAGAATTACTCCAAAGATTGAAACTTGATCAAATAATACGTTACAACACACTGTATAAAATCGTGTGGTGCATTTTCTTTGCTACTCCCAATAGCTGGGAGCGACACAAACAGTGAAACAAACAGAAAGATTAAAGAAGAATAAACAGTGTTATATTTCTCATAGGGTTCAACTAGATCCTAATAGCAATTTCAAGAACCAAAAAGCCAGTATAAACAATTGCAACAATTTGCTAGACAAATTGCAAGGGAATCCAAACATAAAAACATGTCCAACCAAACAGTCCAGCAAACAATAAGCAAAAGTACAAAACATTATAAGTAAAAAAATGAAAGCTTAAAATCCAACTGACCTCCAAAAAATTGAAACCCCACTTCAAGTTCACCACCAAGATCAAAGCTTTTGGTTCCAATCTTGTTCAGAAACAGCTAACACCCAATAAAGAAAACTTAATTGCCAGTCAATTTCAAGCCAACTCGCAAAAGTGATAAACTGCAACAAAAACAAAGATAAGATTGCAACATTAGTCCCTCAAAAGTCAATTTTAAAACAGGAGTAGAGAAAGAAAAAAAGCAAGAAAGTTTGGCTAATAAAGAAAAAATATATAATTACTTACTCTTACCAAGTATAGAACATGGAACAAAGCTCCACCACCACTTTCATTTCCAACTACAAATACTAACTGTTTTTAGACAAACCATAGTTCTAGAAGAGGAAGCCAAATTAAACACATAAATATGAAGAAAAGGTAAAAATATAAGTTAAAACAAACGCGTAAGCCACGTTCATTTTTTATTTTTTTTGGAAAAATTAGGCAAATATAGTGTATAGATCACTATCTAGAAAAATAATAATGGTGGGGTCCAAGATTTGCTGAAATCTTGCATTTTCAAGGTCCAATCTATGGAGTAACCCCCTCAACCCCACTACCCCCACATGTATAGACGAGTGAAAACACGAAAGTGACATACAGAAAATATGTATGTATAGGTAGAGAGAGAGTCTAAAGAGAGAAAAAGGCAACAAAAAAAGTGTTAGCTGGTCCGCACAATAGCTCAGTCAGTGCTGGACTATTTGGCAACTTGCCACTATATGTCATGGCAATAACCAATTTTTCCCTAAAAAAAGAAAAACCAATTTCGAACCCCACCTCCTCTTGTTCTTTGGAGTTTTTTCTCTTCTTTTTATTGGTAGAAAATTGTGGAATATTGCTAAACAAAATAAAATTTATTCAAATTGGTCAAAAACATGTCATTTCTTGGTGGAATTAATAAATTCACGAGACAAAATTTTGGGATAATTTGAACCAAGAAAAGAAATTCATTATGCCAGAATTAAGTTCACCAAAGAATTATAGTGACTAAACCCTCATGACTCATGAGCCACTAAATAATTTTGTGTTGCATGCTCAAGATAAATAAAGGGTGGTTTTGATACTATGGATAAACAAAAATAATATTGGGATACAAATTTAATATTGCTTTATTCCTTGTTTGATTATTGATCTTGGAATAAGTTATTTCAGGATTAAAAATAGTATTGGAATAACTTTTACCTACCAGATGATGGAATAGAAATCTCAGAATAAGTTATCCCCGGATAAAGCAGTTAAATTGACAATCTCATGATTAATACAACATACCAAATAATCAATAAAAAATAATAGCAGGATAATTAATTTCTATCAGGACATGACCCATGATAGGAAGGTGTACAGATCGAGTATTAGGGTTGAAGGTTAATAAGTAGTCAAGCATTTTTCTACTATGTGTCGTGTTTAGGGCTAGTCTGATAGTGTCTTGTCTCATACTGCTAGCAGTACATATTGTTTTCATACTAGTTTGTTGCTTCGATTTCCTACTATCTGGCCATTGTTACTGGATATTGCTATTGCTTTTTTCATCTATTTTTCTGGTTCTTAAGTTGCTGGTACTATCTTTCTTGTCTTTGTCGTCTATTGTTTCTTTTTATCTTCTTGAGCCGAAGGCCTTTTGAAAACAGTCTTTCTACTTCTAGAATAGGAATAATGCCTGCGTGCATGTTATTCTATTCATATCCCACTTATAATATTATACTGGATTGTTCTTATATAACTAATTCCAGCATAATTAATCCTGGCATAACTGATTTTCAAATCAAACAGCCCTTAAGTATTCAAGTTTCATTGTCGCGGTTTTAGAAAATAAAATGTTTACATGTAAGAGGACGTGTTGAAAACAAAAAATAAATAAATAAAATTATTTACTCTTTAACAACTTAAATTATTAAACAAATGGTTCACACAATTACTAATTCTACAAAGGTAACCACCAAAATGCAAGAAAACAAAAGGACTCTATAAAAAAACATATATACCTAACAACCTTGAATCTTGATACCTTTACCCATGACTTTTGTCCAAACATGTGACTTATGTAATCTTGTATAGATATTAGTAATAGAATATTGTTGACTTAGATCGTGTAGGAGGTAGGACAAAAGTTTTGGAGGTGTTATGTTTCAAACATGTTTTTGAAATTAATGTTTATAGATATTGGAAATGTTCTTTTGTGAAATTAATGTTTGGTGGTAGATTTGTCTGTGAAATTATTAAACATTGTCATGTTGTAAATTATTAAATATTGTCATGTTGTAACTATTTTTTTTATTGTCTTATTGTTTATTTATTTTCTCTGCGGCGCGAAAAGCTCAATAGATTTGAAACTTGTCGATGAATTCGGAATTAAAGAAAGAAAGGGGAAATTTTATCTTTTCTTAAAAAGTGTTTAGATAGAAAAGAATAATACTTAAATGGCCTTTTAAAGTTAGGATTAGAGTTTTGCAACAATTGACTTATTAGATACTTCCAAAGAGGAAACTGTTTAAACCTAACTAGACCTTTGATATATTCCACATATGACATACCTATACCTATGCTAGAAATTCAAACTTCACGATGATTGAATAGTTATGAAATGGAGAAAAAAAAGATTATCTCATTGAAATTGTGAACTCTATTATGGAGTAATATTTTATTAGACGGATTAGTTACCAAGTGTAAAATTTTGATTAGATTGAACAAAGTGATCAACTGCTTGAGTACATCTTCTTAAGCTTCAAATGATGTTAAAAGTTGAGTGTGAATTTCAAAGAAAAATATTTTTACAAGTTTTGGAACTCATATAATAATTATTACTGATCAACAAAAGTAACCATACACGATTAATAAATTCAAATACAAGGTCATCTTCTAGGTAAAACAATTTATATTCATAACGAAAATAAGTTTTTTGGAGTGACAAGTTATTCAAGCGATACTAGAAGATATGAAAATAAATTTACCTATTAGAAACCATAGTCGTAAGGGTTAAACTTGTTCATGTATGATCTCAAATGGAGTAACTTTACCTTTGTTGAACTTTTGATCCAATATCACCTAACGGAATTCCAACTTGAGAATAATTTTAAACCATAATCAAAAGCTTAAGGAGTAAATTTGGACTTTTCTCTTTAAAAAAGTTAATACGTGAAATTCAATATCCAGTTCACGCTAAAATTTGTTAATGATAAAGGCAAGTATGAGATGATGACTTGCTTGCGGGAAATGTATTAATGGACCGAGAATGTAACTCAAGACAAAATTGAGCCATTTCAGGTAGTACGTGATCAAATTTATCCTTAATTTTCTGACACTATACTTGTAACTTTTTAATCAAAAATAGGGATTTCGGTCAAAGCTTATTTTTAGAAGAACTCGGGTTATTGATAATCAAGTAAAAATAGAAATAATTGATGTAAACAATGATTGAATAGAAAGGAAAGCAAATCAGTATATTCCAATAGAATTTCGTGTCCTTACAAATGTTCAATCCTCACCTTTTATAGCTATTTCTAAGTAATACGTTTTTCTCCTTTCATAATGGAGTCATTATGGACAATTAATAGCATTTAATGTAATGTTATAATTGGTAATCATAACTTATTCAATACAGATTCCATAACATTTTCCGTAATTAATGCCTATTAATTACCAATAATACGTATCTATACCCCTTTTGCTACTTAGGTTCATTCCTCTTATGCGACTTCTGAATATCAAGAGGTTCGAGCACCTATCCTTTCTGATTTTCTTGGATCTCTGTCGTGCCTACTGAAGCTCGTGCCTCTTCAACTATTCTTTGCCAACTGTCATTCTTTTACCAGTCCACGTGACATGACATGTCACCTCATAATTAATTCTATACATGAACTTAATTTTTCCCAATACAGATAGTCCCCCCACTTGCCATTTATTCATCAATAGAATATTTGGGAAGTGGATCTCATTAAAGCAGGAATATTTGCCGCCATTATTCCTTCTCTGGAACTGACGCTTCACATGTCACTTCCATTTAATGCTTGTGACGCGTGGCATCTTCTGATTGGTTCTGCAACTTTTCAGCATCTTTTAGGACTTTTTTACGGCTTCATCAATTACGAAGCGACAGCTTCCATCATGACATTTCCATCATTACACCTTTTCCTTTGACGATTACTTCTGAGTATAAATATAGTTTTCGCCTTTCTCTTTCTCATAAAAAGTTAAGAATATACACTTCTTGTTTTCTTCTTCCTCGTACTACTATGTCTTCTTCAAACCCTAACCCTCGAAGAGTCCCTATTGTTGATGACCTTCCTGTTGCTCATGTTAGAAGCAGGAGAGGAGGAAGACTTCGTAGCTTAGGGTCTTCATCGATACGGGGCTCTTCTATTCCTCTAGTGAGTTCTACTCCACCTTCTAGAACTAGGGGTTCTCTTTCCCAAAGATCTTCGTCTAGAAATAAAGACTCTAATGAACCCCTTCGTGAACCTTTGGTAGACGAAATTGTTCATGTTGAACTATCTTTTTACACGGATAGGGAATCGATCAGAAACCAAGTTTCTTCCATGTCTTATTTAGATCGTGCAGATATTTTCCCATCTTAAATCACTGAAGGTCTAATCTCTATTGTTCGTAGGGATTGCCACTGGAGACATGATTTCCCCATTATAATTCCCAATGCGAACCAAAGGATTACATCTTACTTGACTGGGTTTTCTTTTGTATATACATACCCCTTTACACTGAATTTTAAACCCCTCATTGATCCTGTTATCATCGAATTCTATCATTTTTTCGACGTTTGTTTAGGACAAATTGGCCCCATTGTGTGGAGGGTTGTTACATGCTTAAGGCATTTAACCAATATGGCTAGTTTGCCTTTTACTTTCTTCCATTTGATTCATCTTTACTCTCCTAAACTTTTCTGCCATGGGATTTTCACTTTAGTAGCGAGAAGTAAGAGAGTGTTAGTTAGCCTAGAGGATGATAAGGACCGTGGCTGGTATGCCAGGTTTGTTGCTTCCCCCACCGTTGGTTTAGTGGGTGAAGAAAATGTTCCATTTCTTGATAAGTGGAATTTTGCATGTAAGTTTTCTTTTTACAACTTTTTCTATCTTTTCTCTTTATTTTTCTCGCTATCGTTTAACTTTTTCCTCTTTTCCAACAACCATGGGAACTGTTGATGAGATTCCCAATTTCCATGGTTGGGTAGGAAAGTTATTGAATGTTGCTCCAATGGAAGGTAGATCTTGGAAAAACCTGTCGCATAGGTTTGGTTGGAAGGTGAAAACTCATGGTAAAGGATTTTCTCATCTCTTCTTCATATTTTTATTCACCCTTTCTTCAGAATTTGTTTTGATCCTTCTTTTTATCAGGATTTCCCATTTGAGGTATTAGTGTTAATGCTGTCATAGCTTCCA